CAGTGCACAGACCACAACCTGTTTCTGGCTAGCACTAACTTTCGGCACAGTCATCGTCGATGTGCCATCTAGTGTCCTCTCTCTGCATCTCAAGCCTGGACTCAGATTGACCACATCGCGGTCAGCTACCACTGGTGTGGTTGTGTGCAAGACTGCCGCTCCTTTTGGAGTACCTATCTGGACTCTGACCATGCCTTGGTCTGTGCCAATCTTACCTTACTTTTCAGTGGACGACGAAGTGACCACCACCAACGGATTGATGTTAGCAAGCTGGTTGCAACTTCTGTTGCGAGTAAGTATCGAACCGAGCTAGCTTCTGGGCTAGCTACCATTCCACCGAAAAGTATAGATGAGCATTGGTTGCAATTGCATGACGCCATGAAAATGGCGGGTACAGTCAGTTGTGGGTTTGCGAAACGTCCCGCTTTGAAGCACTGGGTTTCTTCAGGCTCCTTACAACTCATTGAAGCCCGTCGGTCTACTCCGGGTGACCGTGAGTTTGACCACAAACGAAGGTTGTTACGTAGTGAACTTGGACAAAGCTTGCGTGAGGACCGAGAAGCCTGGTGGTCGGAGCGTGCTAATGAGATGGAAGCAGCAGCTGCATCTGGTAACTGCCGGAAACTCTTCCAACTCCTCCGAGCCACTGGCAGCAAGAAGTCTTGTGTGAGCGAAACAATCTGTGAGGATGACGGGATGCCAATCACTAACATCCATCGACGTCTTGGACGATGGGTAGAATTCTTCGAAGGGCAGGTCGAATGGCCTGTTGCTCCGGCAACATCGGTCGGACTGTCCTCCCCTCTACGACCGTTGTCGACTGATCCACTTAATGAGGCGGAAGTCCCCAAGGAACTCCAACTCTTGAAGCGCTACAAATCACCTGGCCCAGATGACTTACCTCTGACTCTTTTTAAAGATGGTGGTGACTTCCTGAATAAGGAACTGACTGTGTTGTTTACAAAGGTGTGGGAGCTAGAGAGTGTACCAACGTCATGGAATGAGTCGATAGTTGTCCTAATCTTTAAAAAAGGTTTACGTCGTTCCTGTAACAACAACAGCTATTGGCTTCCATCATAATTCGTAGGTTGTTCAAAACCCGAGAAAGATTGACTCGCGAGAAGCAGGCTGGGTTTCGTTCCGGTCGAGGATGTATTGATCATATCTTCACCCTCCGCCAAATGTTAGAACACCGCCATACTTTTCAAAGGCCAACAATCGTAGTGTTTCCTGACATCAGGGCTGCCTTCGATTGGTTGGACAGGACTGTTCTCTGGAATTATCTGTTAAAGAAGGGTGTGCCTGAGAAGTTTATTAACATTCTAAAAGCCCTATATACAAACACCTGAGGTAGAGTGAGGGCATACAACCACCTTTCTCCATTGTTCCATTCAAGCAAAGGGGTTAGACAGGGTTGCCCAATCTCGTGGTGAGATCAATGCACGTATAGTGAAATCCAGAGCGGCTTATGCCAATCTGGGCCATCTTTGGCGCCCTCGTGACGTTAGTCTGGCTGTAAGAGGTCGTATCTACAACGCGTCGGTGAGAGCAGTTTTGCTTTATGCTTGTGAAACCTGGCCTCTCCAAGTTGAGGATGTTAGACGATTCTCTGTGTTTGATCATCGTTGTCTCCGAAGGATTGCTGACATCCAGTGGCAACACCATGTTAGTAATGCAGAGGTTCGGTATCGTGTGTTCGGACACAGAGACGATAATGCAATTGATGTCACCATCTTGAAACACCGACTTCGGTGGCTTGGGCATGTTGCACAAATGTCATCCCAGAGAATTGCACGTCGTGCATTATTTGTCGACTCCGGGACTGGTTGGAAAAAGCGGAGAGGTGGTCAGTGTATGATATGTTGTCGTGGTATGGAAGAAAGCTGTAAAGGGGCTGGCTTGTGTTGGTCCTTCACTACTCCGTGGTTGTGGTCCTAGAGATGGTGCAAGGCAGATGTTAGAGACGTTATCAGATATGGCTCGAAATAGAAGTCGTTGGCGATCCTGCTGTAACCTTTTTTTATTTCATAAAAAGTGGTTGTATCTTCCTTAACTGAAAAAATTCTCCTGGTTGTACCTTTCCGTTTCCCCCATTAATATGATTATTTCACTACCTTTCACTAATCTGTGGTTGTAGTTGTTCTTTTTTTCTTTTACGTTCCTTACTTTCCTTTTTCTCTTCCCATTCTCATTGTTTCGTTTGGCGCATATATATATATATATATATATATATATATATATATATATATATATATATATATATATATACGGTGCCCCCTTATACCAGTATTTATGTTCAAATAAGTAAATAAAATAAAAAATCTACATTTCAGTCAGTTGGTTGACTGCTTAAAGTCTGACTATACTTTTACCAATAGGAACGTACCTGCAGCCTGGTCAGTGATAACCTACAACTCTGTATTAAATAACTAGTCAACGCATCTTAAAGCTGGTCTTTACGCGTCATTGTACATGGTTGCTTTGTGAGAATTGGGGTTTTTGCTCGTGATAGATGATTGTAGGCGGTCAGGTTGATGCTCTTAACCAAATGGTATTCTTAATTGTCACTTATCAATAAGGTGTATCTTTAATCTTTTGGTGGCCTGTGCCTTACAGTATCACTTTCAGAAACATTGTCTTTGTGCTGTTCAACTTGAGACTGACCACTTTTAAAAATGAGATATTTACAGTATTTGCCGATTACATACCTTATATAACTTATTAACGTTCTGTTTATTTAGTCTTTATTGTTGATGGAATCTCAACCCAGTCACAACGTGACTATTAGTTGAAATGAGACGACTTTGCTTATACTGTATTTCGATGTTAAGTAATTTATATATTTATCGTAAAAGAAGTCATTCTCTTCCAAAACAGCTCAGAAGTGTTATCTCTGGCTATGGTGCAAGTTCGAATCATAATTACAGGTACATTTTGTTGACTAGTATTATTATTTGAACACAAATATTAGTACAAAGGGGAACCGATTACACATGCACCACACAAGTCACTTGATTTGTATCTGGGCTATGATCTTAAATGACATGGCTCAAAATCGTTTGCAATGGCGCAGGTGCATCCACTCTTTGTGTTCTCCCAAATTCTAATCTGAATTCTTCATGTCCCTTTTTCTATCTTTCCAAATTTATTTCACTGGATTATACTGCTTGAATAACATCCTAAACCCTAGTCTTTCCGATTACTGCTTATACTCTTACTACCACTATAACTACGGGATTTGAATCGACAACTGCATCTCTGCACTAATGTGGTATGGCAACCCAAACTGATGTACGTACATACGTACGAAGTTCTACGTTGTTACTAACTGACTGACTGGGCTATAATACTGCCCGGGTGCCCAAACCCGGATCCTTGGACCTAAAGTTCTGATCCACAAAGTAGTAGAGCAACGTCAGGAGATACAGTCCCATGGTAGCCGGTAATTAACGATTGGTTCGTACACCATGTTCCTTCAGGATACTGAAGCTCATGTGCAACATTGGTTTGGAACCAGGGTTTTCCAACGTCCCTATGTGCATCATCCATATCCACCAACCGGTTTAAGGCACCGGACATTCGTTTTCCGTCCTCTCAATTTCTTAAACAACACCCCTGCCGCGAGAAGGCAGTGAGCAGGACTTCCCTGACAGTGGCTGTATACGTGTAGCCATGTGGGAGGATTTTGACGGGGGGAGCTGACTCGCCCCACGCTCGGCTGCAACAGGACATTTGAGGACTTTGTTGACTAGTGACATGTAGCACCCTATCTCGGTTCAAGATATTTTGCCGATTGCGTCTGACCATTTAATTTTGAAAGTACATGATCTCAAGTCACTCGTACTAGTATTCGCGTTGCAACTCGGTTGATAAACTTTGATTAGCACTAAGGAATTTGATGAACATGGGACTGGTTAGCAGCCAGTATAGGTAGTACTCAAACTAAATCAAAAGTGTTTAAATAATCTTTAAACTCATCGCCTGATTTCCAGAGTCAAATGCTCAAGCTTTTGAATCTAAATCTCGCAAACAGTAGAAAATTGCAGGTCAAAATTATGGAAAATGACCATAAGGCTTCCCACTTTAAAAGAGTATTTGTTTCATATAAATTATATTACTAAAGGGCTTTTATTGGAAGGCTGGAAATCTGATTAAAGCAAGCTGTAACTTCGAGTTCTCAGGTAATAAGTCTCAAACATCAAATGCATAACCATTTGATTCCCAGGCTAAATTATATTTCGATCACTTGGGCCACCCGAATGGTACTTAAGCTTATGACTTAAATGAGTCGTCTGATAAGTCTTAATAGTTGATATTAAAATTATATACGACCACAATTATTTGCAACATACTCAGTCTTCTAGATTGGAAAACCACATTGGTTTTCTTGTAGGATTCTGTGGCCGATTGTGATTATTTCTTGGATCAATAATTGACATTTTAATGATTCCTGATTATTGAGGCTTTTTAGTAGTGCTGTATCTGACTCCAGTAATATCGTATGATTATTATCGAAATAGACATATTGCCAGTCGTATATAATTATCAACTTGCGTTGATGAATAACGGCATCAGATAGGTCAAATACGAGAATGGATTTTTGAACACGTATATTTCGTACGGTTGTTGATCAGGGCAAATGATCAAAGAAATAAAACGAAGAAGTCGAAGGGAATAAAGCGAAGTGAAATAACGCTCAGTGGAGATAGTATGTGAGCCAACTCAATTTAACCAAGAGTGAATCAATATTTATAACCGAATAAAAATAAGTTGCAGACATGTTATGAGTAAGGTAGAAAATGAACACACATACGCTCATACGGAAACAGTCAAGGCTGATAAGTGAATAATTAACAAGGTCAAAACGTGACTCAAGAGGAAGCTAGAATAAGTTATGTGGGCTTAAAATAGTAGCCAACACTACAGCTTCGATCTTATCACTTTGATGCGATTCCATAATTCATTTATAACATTTTTATTTCCTTCTTTTAATTTTACAGATGAAACATAAGCGGGATTTAAAGCTACTACTTCATCCATACTTTATCGTGAATATGCTACTTAGCGCTCTTTTTTTTATATCAAAAACTGTCCCATTATTTTGTACATGGATGTATGATGATTGTTACATCAATCTCCAAGAATATGAAATGTTGATATTTTTAGGAAGCTTCGTCGCATTGCGCAATAAGCGTCAATTCTCTATTCCCGATTATCTTGCTCATTTCTACATGTTTGCTAAAATCGTTAGTCTACTTATGTTCTGGAAACAGAATGTTGTATATGCCATATTATATGGTGTTTTATGGTTAGTGCAAGCATGTTTTTTACAACAACCTGTTTATAATGGGCCCGATAAAGTTTTATACTTGCGAGATACTACCTTTGAACAAGAAGTTATTCGTGGTAACCCTAAGGTAACATGGCTCGTTGCTTTTTATACTGTGTGGTCACCTGCGTGTACTAAACTACAACCTATTTTTGCAGAACTGTCAGAAGAATTTGGAACAGATCTTATGAAGTTTGGCAAAATCGATGTAATACGATATCCAGATGTCGGCGTCAAACACAGCATTGATACATCCTCCTGGTCTAAACAGCTTCCTACTCTGATTTTATTTCGTCAAGGTCATGAACTGACACGCAGACCAGCTATAATCAATACACCTAAGAAAACAGTACAGAAATTCACATTCACTTGGGATAATATGATCAATGCTTTTTCATTAAATGAAATATACACTAACCAGAAACAAACTTCTGGCGCTGCAAATCAGTGTGGTTTAGCTGGTTCAACAGATAAAGATAAGAAAAACCTGTGAAAACATACGTTTCATCGAGATATTGTGTTAGGTACTTTATCTAGTCTTTCTTATATCTTTTAATTGAACGACCTGTATCTGTAAATTGATTTCACCAGTTAATTTTTTCGCACAATGTTTCGGTACTCAAAACCAAATTTTTACTCAGTTAAATTGACTTCCATAGTTGAATGCCTTGGTTTTAATCCTTAGTTACTTCTGTCTTAATGCTTTGTACAAATTTAAGTACTCTTTAAATGCCTTATATTGTAAAAATGTTTTACTCTGATTGATAAACAGCTTGCAAGCATGCTGTTGATAGACTAGTTGTAACCAGGTATTTTTTTAAACTTGTTTACTGATCATGTGTCGCATGACAACAGTTATTACTGTTTAAAGTAAATTAGATAAAATAAGATGTTAACTCATGAGTTGGTGGATGAGAGTCTTATGTTTAGACTATTGAATCACTGTTTCCTTAAGAATAGTTCTGTCTAGTTACAAAACAGATATATCACATTTTAAAGGTTCATTTGCATTTAGTTTAGTTTCACTACAACATAGACAATATTTTGGTGAGATGCACTATCTCGACCCTTATTTACACAGAATGCGGCCCTTTTATTCTTATCGTACCACCAAAATGCTTTGAAAACTGATAATTAAATAATGAAGTTGTTGTTTTCAAGGTAAACAACTTTGCTGCAGATTTCTAGTTTACTTTGGGCTGTTTCCTAATAAACGTGTTTTTCGTAGTTCTGCAGCATAAAGACAAAAGGTTTTTATGCACATTCTCCTGTACGTTGGATTCCATGACCATGTAATCCGATTCGTGATATCTTACTGCTTTTATCTTTTTCAAATGCAAGTCTTCGACATTCTTCGTTTCTGAATGTGTTTATCCGCCCGACAGCCTAAAATTAAAATACAGAAGTGGTTGTGTTTAAACAATATAGATTAAAATAATTTAGTCATTACTCATTCGGAATAAACTTAGGACCCGGGATGATTGTACACCAACCCCAATTACCCAACACCGATATGATATTCACAAAATGCATTGCAAACAGGTCTAAATCATAGTATCATCACTAATACTAAGGATGCTAAGTACAAGGAATATTGTTTGAATTAAGTGAATGAATTCTTGTGATGAAAAGTATGTAACGGTATTGAGACTTTAAATCTAGATGAGATTTGATGCATCTCCGGTCGGTAATCACGGTTATCCCACTAACCTGTATTATTGAGTGTCCAACGTCCCTATACTGTTTTAAACAAACATATTAGTCAATATTGGAGATATTTTGCTGAATAAGAATGGCAGTTGGTTGATTTCTAAAAACAAGTGATAGTGTAATTATCTATCTGGCAAATAAGTTGCTTACTGTCAAAGGGATATCGATTTGTCAACATATTTTCACACGCTCTGCTTTTGTATACACACACTAGCTTTGTTAATTCAGGTAAGAAGGTTTAGGAACAACATTCTAGTTCCTGTAAATTTTAGTAACAATAAAAAACCGTAAAATAATCATTAGGTAGTGAGTTAGTATACATATATAAAAACAAATAGATTAAGTTGAAGCAGTGTATTTTTCTCCAAACAATAAGTCACAATTTCTTCCTGCTAGATAGGAAATTCCATCTGATGACATGTGGTAGAGATGGGTGGGGATCTCACACTGCCAAACTTTTCGCTTTCAATTACCTTTGAATTACTTAAGTACCAACTGTCAAAACTAGTTATCAGACATCAGTTATTGTGTTCACTGACCAACTTAAAATTCTATGACTTTGATCTTGGTATACGTGATTATCACTTAAAAGTCAGTGGTGATCACAAACTAGTTGCCCAATCCTTTTGGCTGGTGAGGATTTAGTTTTAATCGTATTAAATCTCAATTTTTTCGCAATAGTTTGTCGAATGACATTGGCTTATTGAGTTCACTTAGAATTATTACGATTTGTGGGGTGCTCCTGTACATGTTTGTTTAATTCTTCTTGTCTTACTAGCCACATGTATATATCAGTTCAAGTAGATTGTCTAAACATGAGGATTTAAAAGTTTTTGTAAACTTACATTTTGTTCAAACCTCTTCAACTTCCAGAAGCTCTCTTCTTTGTTTTTCCTCATGCAATTTCTTTTAACCATCGCATCTGTGTCAGGATGGTTAACTCTTCTGGACATGCTCTAAGTATGAAATGTTATTTAATAATACATTTCATACCGTTAGTCCAACTAATTTTGCTTCTATTTTGTCTGATTTCCTCATCTGTGCATCAATCCAGTCTTTTTGATATTTGTTTGAAAGGATTTCTTGAATTGGCGTAGAGGCTCTAAATAAATGTGAAAATTAGGTTTTAATGGAGCATGAATTTTCAGTAGTGGTAATAATCACCATGCATGTTTGCACCCTTGAGTATTTCTAGATCACAACATATTCTGTCTGTACTGGTCTTAGTTTTCTACTGCGGTTGTAATGCATCATACTATAGATCTTGTTGGGTCCGAAACAGTCTCTTAGCAGATGTGGCCATTTGACCATGTAATTGACTGATGATGGTTCGGATCGCGATTTTTGACAATAAGTGTTTAAAGTCGATCTATCTGTGATCACAGGCTGCCGGACAGGGTCCTAAACTCTCAGTCTAGAAATACTTGAAAGTTATGAAGACAGCCAGTAAAAAGTCGTGCTTTTGTTTCACTGCTAGTATCTCCAGCATGCTTAGTAATCAACAGACTCATGCACTCTCAGCAGATCTTTTAAGTTCTCATACGAAAAGTGAGATAGTTCTGTTCAGCTGCCGACTTCATTGTCACTGCTGTTACAAATATAACGCGGTGCTGGACCATTGATAATATAAGATTATGGGGAGTTTTCAGAATAGGTTTTTCTATTGCCCTAGTTTGCTATCAGAGTTCTTTAAAAAAGGTAGCCCAAACTATCAAGTGAGTAGTTCGTTGTAATCCAGATGTTTTTCGAATGCTGTTCGTACACAGTTTTTATGACTGTAATCTAAGCATGCGAATTGAATTATAACTAAAACAGTAAGATTCGTTCCTGTGGTCGATAATAATGTTATCAATCGTGTTGAATTATTGTCGTCGTTTACTAATACTTCTTCCATGAAGAAGTACTGTTCTTTCATGAGCGTAGAAACTTGTTCTAAATTGTTTTTGATAGCTAAAAGGATATCAACATGTGATGTAGAGCGTCTTCAGAATTCAACGGACGTCTTTTCATATTGAAACTGGAATGCTTTAAAAGAATAAAATTGTAAGCTCTTTAGTACTGGGTTAAATTTATCCAATTTCATTTAATTCCTTAGGAACATTTGCTGGTAATATTTCTGTCGAGTGTGCCACACACACCTGTTGTTGGTTGGTAAATCTTACATGTAGTTTAAAAAGTGGGGAAAACTTAATTCATTCAGTACCTCAACATATCAATAAAAGTACACGCATAGTCTTCTGAATATTCCCTTGTATTTGGGGTGTCGAGTTCCACTGGACTCAACGGAGTAGCCAACGCAAGCAATAGGTGAATTATTACTGAGCGAATAAAACTGTATAACAAGACAAGAGCTGGATGGTGGTTAGAAAAACAAACAGATGGGGTCGTACTTATTTCGACGAAGAGTTATGTCTGAATAATGGTATTAAAAGTACTCACTTGTTAGGCATACCATGAGTGACATCCAAATGTAGTTTTGGTGACTCCGTTCTTGATCTGCGTTTCGCTTGTTTCGGTCTCAATCTATCGTGTAACGCCCTAAAGTGAGTCATTTCCTTGCTTGTTGTCACTCCCTGCTTTACACTATCACAGTTTAGTGCCACGAAGTCCCGAGTTAGATATATATGGTCATTAGACTTCTGACGAATTGTGGTATCATCAATCCAGTGAAGGGCTAAAAATAATCAAGGGTATGACATACTATCAGAGACACCACTGGTTTTTACATTTTTTATTCCGTAAGTGAATGGTGGGGGATGGACTTTTAGGCAATGTGTATTACTGCGTCCTAGAATTGACTTAAAATAGTAATTGACTTAAAAAATAAATCTACTCGCTGAAGTAAAACATTCTTGCACATGCTCTCTCTTTTATCGCCCAAAAGATTGGTTGCTGTATATTGCCACCCTCTTGAGTATTCAGGCTTACCAGTCTTCATATTTGTAAATGTGTCGCTGGTAGTCAGCATGACAACAGAAAATCTGTTGTGCTAAACAAAACCTGTGAAAGTATGTTACACAGTTCTCTGTTAGATAACATGTCTTACACCCTGGGTGTAGTTAGTTTCCCTATATGATGACATTCCATCATAATTTTAACTGTGAGGTTATAGATTTGTCGATCAGCAAATAAATGAATGGAGAAGACTTATGGACGAACCGACCAGATTTAAGAAAACAGATCATGGATTTTGGCTCAAAATTTAATCGTTTGTATAGCTAAATAGCGCTTCGGGACCTGATGCCATTTCACAATGAAAACTTTAAATCTAATTCTTAACCCTAACCATCAACTATAAATCATAATGCTTATTATTCACCTTCTCAAGGCCTAAATCACATCATTCAAAGGTTCTTCGCAAGCCTTAGCTTCACCGAGATGGACAGAATTAGAGTACAGTGATGAAAGTTAATAAAAGCTTAAACATTTTCAACCGAAACAGTGACTTGAATCTCTTATTATTCAAAACGATATTGCCACGTAGTCAGTGGTTGAAGTGTCAGTTCATGAAATGCATGCACACAAAATCAAAGCGCTTTTAGTCAGTGCTTTGTGAATCCAATATCTTTGTCACCAGCTTGTACAAAAACTTGATTTCTTCACGAACATTTGTTACTTCGCTACATTATCAGGTATTTTTTAAATGTCTAATATGTGGTGGTCTATCCACTCAACTGCACTAGTTTTATTCAGTGTGGCAGTTATTTGTGGATAGGTATACCGTATATTTCAGTGGGTGCGTTTGTCTTAGGACAGTCGTGTTTCTGGATACTAGCAGTTATTACATTAACAGGCAGGAGATTGGTTTGGGGTGTTCGTGATTGTGAAATATTCCTTTAAAGCTATCCATTAGACCGTCGTAGTCACCTAGGCTAAGAGAACATCACAAATACGAGTAATATGCTTGTTCTGGGAATATGCTCGCGTCGGGGTGGTTTGATGTATTTAATATGTTGTATACCATCACCAAATCACCTCTTATCCTCCTGTATATCAGAGAGAATAATGCCAAAGTCTGTCCTCATAAGATTTATGTTTTGGCACAGACACCCACTTGATTGCCGATCTCCATACACTATTATTGCAATTATTCACAAACATCCTATGGGTACATAAGTGATGTGAAGAAACCACTTTGTATTTCTTCAAAAATGCAATATAACCTAAGTGTTGTGACTTTATGGCCCTCTAGTTATCACATGGTCTGTTCGCCAACAAAAATACGATTTATTCGCTCTCATACTGCATTAAACCAATGACGTCCGACCGGTCTGATCAGCCTAGCCTCCATACTGGTCCGTTGCTCGCCTAGCCTGTCCAGCTGAGTCCAGAATGCTAATAACAGCCTACACTATGCGAATCATTTATTTCAGACATACTGGGTTTATATATCAACCAAACAGACCTCAACGCACAATAAAATAGGAGATAAAATTCTTACACAACAAAGCTAAAAAGTGGCTGTGAACGTGGGAGGCAGTAGTCAATTAACTGAACATAGCTTAAGAACAGTTAATCGCACAATAATAAGTTCCAGGTCAAAATAAAGCTTATAACAAGGGGACTACGGAGATATATAGTCTAGTTACTGAATATTTATGCCATGGGAATATATAAATAATAATTGTCCATTATTAGGTCTCAGACGTTACTAGTAATGTTATCTTTACTAAGATATAACCCCTAAGCATTACATATGACATATTTGAAAATGAGAAAAAAAGATAGTAATGATAATAGAACTTACTTACTTACTTACGCCTGTTACTCCCAATGGAGCATAGGCCGCTGACCAGCATTCTCCAACCCACTCTGTCCTGGGCCTTCTTTTCTAGTTCCACCCAATTCTTGTTCATTTTTCTCATGTCTATCTCCATTTCTCGGCGTAATGTGTTCTTCGGTATTCCTCTTTTCCTTTGACCTCAGGATTCCATGTGAGGGCTTGTCTTGTGACGCAGTTGGGTGCTTTCCTCAATGTGTGTCCTATCCACTTCCAGCGCTTCCAGATTTCTTCCTCCGCTGGGATCTGGTTTGTTCTCTCCCACAGTACGTTGTTGCTAATAGTGTCCGGCCAATGGATCTGAAGTATTTTGCGTAGACAATTGTTAATAAACACCTGTATTTTCTGGATGGTGGCTTTTGTAGTTCTCCAGGTTTCTGCCCCATACAGTAGAACTGTCTTGACATTTGTATTGAAAATCCTGACCTTGGTGTTGGTTGACAGTTGCTTTGAGTCCCAGATGTTCTTCTGTTGTAAGTATGAGGAATATCTGGAACTCCGCCTGGAGTCCCTCCGGGGGCTACTGCCGGTCCCAAGCCCGGATAAAGGAGGAGGGTTGGGCATGGGGTTAGCGTCCCCATCGCGTAGAAAACTAACTCGCTAAAAAAACGCTAACCAGAAAAACAAATTAATGATAGTAGAAGGATAATAATAAATCAGGTCCTGTGTAATTGAGAAGAATATTGAATTGGCTTTAAAGAAGGAAAGGGAGAAAATAAGGGGATAGAAATACGCAAATGTTTTAATAAGCGTGTTTATGAACACAGAGTAAGAATAAGCCCAAGAGATTCCATGTTTTGGAAGAGAGGTGGCTCAATGACGTTTCAGACATGAAGATGGGGCGTGCGCACATTCTAAACAATGTTAGGAACAACTCTGGGATGACTGCTCCAAGTCAAAAAAGCACAAAGTAGAGTCGTGTTTACCTTGACTAAATTCCTTGTTTATTTAGAGCTAATATCTATATTCTCTGTAGATACTGGACCGGGATCTCGCTCTTTATGGGCTTGTGGGAGGATTCTGCGTAGGGAGTGCAAGTGCTTTGTGTCAAATGAAGATGAATGTTTAACATACGACGTTTCGACAGGTTAAGTTTTAACTCACTGTCTACTGCCCATTCCTCTATCATTGAACGGTTGTTTTGGAGCTCAAAAGGATCATCTTCGCTTCTAATGAACCTAAGACCATTCCTTTTAAAACTCCTGATGTTGGGACATTCTTGGTTGCGTGAGCACTATTTATGTTACTATGAAACATTCTGTTCCATAGATAGTTTTAGAGCCAGGATAAAAGTGGGTCAGTGAAACCTGTCTTTGAAACATTTGCTACGAAAAATACACGAGCGTCCCTTACTACCCATAGTTCTCTACTGTTATCTGTCACCATTCTTTCAGTCATGGGTAATGCTAAGGGTGTTTCATCATAATCGTGTAGTCTGCTCTAGTGTTGCTAAGATAGGGAACATCCTCGTCTTGCTGATGTACTTCGCTTATGATCATGTTAAATATGACTGTACCATGGGCACTACTTTCTGTTGGTGCGCCTATTATATAATTTTTCTGGGCTTTCGAACCTCTGGAGGGTCATTATACTCTCTCACTTAATAACGTTTCGCCGTTCACACTTAGGCAACACCGGCATGATTCTGTCACCTCGATTAATTCGGTACTTTGTGTTGTTGCGGCTTTGAAGGGGCTATTGATGTATATTGGCACTACACCTGTTTTGTGTACCCTATTATACCGTACGTGTCATATATTCTAGGTTCAATTACTCGTTCGTGATGTAGGGCGATAGACCAATTTCAATAAAGACTCTGGTCTCGAGATTTAAATGAAAGCACATTTTTTCGATTCCTTTCAGTTTCTCCTCAGTCCTCTTACGTTTCTATAGAGGCACTTGGGGCATCTCTACAGAGGCGTCCGTCTTCTGGCTTTCAAACAGAGTGTAGTTTGAAGTGTGTTAGCAAATCCGCTCTTCAACGTTTACCCACTTCTACTTATCGCTAACAGATATTGGGTATTAGCAATAGCCAGTGGTTTCGTTAGTGTATGAGCTCAGGATATGGCTTTCATAATCACGCGTCCGGCCGAGCCTGTGTTAGATGAATTTGGTATGCTGGCGGAGATTGTTGCCGTGGCTTTCGATATGGTTGTAGAATTATGGTCTAGTCCAATACTAGTACTACTATGATATTAGACCTAATCCTAAAATCCTAGATTTGTCATGATGCGATCACATGGTCTGTAAGATCTTATGTGTAAGTCCCATCATTGTTTACAATGACTCGTTCGATCGTGACGATCAGCAATAGGAAGTCTAGCACTTCTGGCGAATACATTTGATGTGAGAAGAAAGTAATATATTTGATACACAAAGTAAAAGTTCATAAAATGTGCCCAAAACATGCCATTTTGATCGCCTGCTGCCATGTTCAATATTCTTAACTCTCTCTCAGTGTTACATGAAAAGTGTAAATCTTCTGAGTAATTATACGTTCAGCGACAAAGATCATCTTGTTGGAATCCAGTACTTCTACACTATTCTCCCACCAGAATCAACGTGACGTTGGTTGGATACCAAATGGAGTTAGAAAATTGCACGCCAAATGTTCCTAAAAAAATAATACGAGTCCTGCAGGTACTGACAAACTGAAAGACAACTGATGAAGAAGGGAGTTGTAACTGATCAGGAAATATATATGGTAATTCCAAAATGTTCGGCTTAATTATTAACACGCTCAAAATAGAAATCTACTTATATATTATTTAAGCGTCAAACAAAACAACAATACCTCAAAGAAGAACAATTTAGCATAGAGATATTTTACCTAGTTCCATTACGATTCATAGTGTAGAGTGCAAACTAATGTTTGGATCAAAGAATAAATGTCTAGGTAGTTTAGATACGCGCTATTGCCCAGTTGAAACGAAAACAAGGTGACTGAGTAAATGACGGTACTAGATTTTTTTATGAATATAAATGTACATTATTACCTAAACAAATATTACCACCCAGTTATTCAACCAATACTCGCTCACCCAGTAATCAAATCTAAATTACAATAAATAAACAAGTTGATAAAGGATGTAAGAAAATTACCAAGCGCAACAAATAAATGTTATTCTATCCTTTCTGGATAGATCATGTACAGATTCGCTCGAAAGATAG